AATAGGGACACAGCTGGCAAAAAACGACAGACTCAAACCTTGCCCTGCTTTATCAAATAAAAGAAAAAATGAATGGCATTGGGCTTTTGTGTTAACAGATAAAAGCAGATAGTTTACTTTGCCTTTAAATGTGTCCAAATGTTAGCATACCATGGAAAGATAATATCAAACACCTTGGAATTATAATTATTTTATAATTCTATCATTTATATTTTCAAAGTGGGCTATTTTTAATAGTTTAAGACACAGAAGTTGTTACCTTTCATTAAAAATAATCATTGGGCAGCAGGAATTAGAAAGGACATCCTACAGCAGTGCATAAAATACATTCCTTACAGATTTGTTCATCTAAGAAAAGGGTTTTATTTTTTGGAGGAATTGCATGGAAGCTAATGGCTGATGCTATGTGCTAAGATCTGAAAATGAAAATCAGCCATCTCAATAATCGACCAAGCAGTTGTTTCAAATATCTAGCAACCTATCACCAGGAAAAGACTTCCTATCTTAGTTCTACATTTGTCCAATCCTACTTGATTCTTAAAGGATAAATATATGAGTTGCTATTTGACAGTTCTGTACACATTGTAGTTTGTGTTGTTTCTATAGGGTGGTACGTTGGAATGCTTGAGCCTAACAATTTGTAGATCATAGCCTTTTCAGTAAACTGTCTTCCCAAGAGCTTGAAAACCTTTTTATGTTGCAAAATATTTTGTGTCTAGTTATGTGATCTCTCACAAAGCAGTTGTCAAATAAGTGATAATCACTTTTATATGGGCAGCACAATGGCTTAGTGGTTGGCATTTAGGTTCCTGGTTCAGATCTCAGCTAGGACACTATCTGCATGGTGTTATATGGATTTCCTTCGGGGACACAGGTTACTTCCAACACCTCAAAGACACGTTAGTAGGTTCATTGGCTCCTGTCTAAATTGGTCCCAGTAATATTTATTTCAGGTACTTATATAGCTCTGTCAATTTATACAGCACTTTACATATATATTGTACATTCACATCAGTCCCTAACCCTTAAGGGGCATACAATCTAAGGTCCCTAACTCACATTCATACATACACATACTAGGGACAATTTAAACAAGAGCCAATTAACCTACCAGCATGTCTTTGGAGTGTAGAAGGAAACCGGAGTACCCAGAGGAAACCCATGCAGGCACAGGGAGAACATGCAAACTCCAGGCAGGTGGTGCTGTGGTTGGGATTTGAACCAACGACCCTAGTACTGCCAGGCAGAAGTGCTAACCATTTAGCCACTGTGCTGTCCATGATATGTGTGTACAATATGGCTATGCACATTTGTGATCATGTTCTGCCTAGCATCCCCTAGTTGATCAATTAGAGATGCTTGAAGAAATACATGGAGACCTACCTCAAAATAAAATATGCCAGGAAATATTTGTGGAAAAAGTCTATAAAAGCATATCAGACATGGTGCCAAGAGAGCTGGCCCATAGATTTGCTGAGAGTCAGATACAACTGAATGAATATATACATACATACAATGACTTATAGCAATCAATGTGGATCATTAATTGATGTTGCATGAGGGAAGACATTACACAAAATAGATTTGGGCTGTAGTAACTGAGGATGGTTCTAAAACTGTAAATTGGCTCTGGAGTGTAATTCATCCCATATCTCCTTACAGTTTACTACATATACAGTATGTTGCAACATGGTAGGACATAATCCTTTTGTATTGTTTGCAAACAAAAAGTGTGATTTAAGAAAGAAATTCAACCTTAAAAGTGGAATGCCTGCTAACAACATAGATGTGAACTGTGCTAGTTGGTAAAAGATGTGTCATTCTGTACAGCCAGTCTTCTTTTATAATGATGCACCTTGTAACCGGTTACACAGTTAGTCTGGCTGAAAAAAGACAAAAGTCCATCCAGTTCAACCATAAAAAAAAAAAAAAGTTATAATCCTATACCCACAGTTGATCCAGAGGAAGGCAAAAAACCCAGCAAAGCATAATCCATTTTTTTCCTGCATGGAAAAAAATTCCTTCCTGATCCCCCTAGAGGCAATCAGATATTCCCTGGATCAGCAAATGGTCAGTCAGATGGCACTAGCACTTTCTGTCTCAGCTTGGCAGCTTATTCTGTCAAATATTTCTTCTGGCAGACAATCAGCATTATTACACAGTTCATTGTCCAATAAGAAGACATGTCACAAATGAAAAACCTGAAAAAAGAGCTGCAAGTGTGTGTAAAATGTAGGTACCTAAAGGTGCCAGCACATCCTGGCAGCAAAACTACTATATTTTTGCTACAGCTGAATGTCAATGGCTCTGAATAGGGGGCTAAGAATATGCATGCATCATACATACTAGGGGGAGTACAACTGGGGGAATCAATGGTGGAGAAGGATCTGGGGGTTCTGGTAGATCACAAGCTTAATAATGGCATGCAATGCCAAGCTGCGGTTTCTAAAGCAAGCAAAATCCTCTCTTGTATTAAAAGAGGTATAGACTCCAGAGAGAGAGAGATCATATTACCCCAGTACAAGTCATTAGTAAGACCTCATCTGGAATATGTAGTTCAGTTTTTGGCACCAATTCACAAAAAGAACATTGGGGAACTGGAGAAAGTACAGAGAAGGGCAACCAAACTGATAAGAGGCATGGAGGAGCTCAGCTATGAGGAAAGATTAGAGGAACTGAATTTATTATCTCTTTAGAAGATGAGATTAAGGGGGGATATGATCAACATGTATAAATACATCAGTGGTTCATATAGTGAACTCGGTGTAGAGATATTCACCCTGAGGTCATCACTGAGGACAAGGGGGCACTCTTTACGTCTGGAGGAAAAGAAACGTAATCTCCAAACACTGAAAGGTTTCTTCACAGTGAGAGCTGTGAAAATGTGGAATAGACTCCCTCAAGAGTTGGTTCTGGCCAGCTCAGTGGATTGCTTTAAAAAAGACCTGGATTGTTTCTTAGATACACAGAATATAACTGGATACTAACATTTATAGGTAAGGTTGATCCAGGGAATATCCGATTGCCTCTAGGGGGATCAGGAAGGAATTTTTTTCCCAGCAGGAGCAAATTGGATCATGCTTTGCAGGGGGGATTTTTGCCTTCCTCTGGATCAACTGTGGGTATAGGAATATAACTTTTTTCTTTTTTTCTTTTTTTTTTTTTAATGGTTGAACTGGATGGACTTTTGTCTTTTTTTCAGCCAGACTAACTATGTAAACTATCTGGTTTCTGGTAGCAACGGAGGTTGCCCACCCCCCTCTGGCCTCACACACATTACTATTGGCCATGGAGGCAGCCTATCATTGTGAAGAGCAAATAGGAAACTGGCGGGGGAGCAGGCAAGCTCCAACACTACTAGAAAATGCTGCTACTTTGCATCTAGCATTCAGCTGTAACAAAAGAGAATGGGGACCACTGCAGGTAAGAGTATAGCTGCTGGCAGCTCTCTTTTTTTTTAAGTGAATGAGTCTGTTTAATCTGTTCAACAATAAAGCAATTTTTTAAAATTTTTTGCACCATGTAAAATTACTTAAACCCCCAGAACATTATATATTTTATGAAAAAAGCAGAGACCCTATAGAATAAATAGATGATTTTTGCATTTTTTTTATGTACTCAACTATTTATCAACTACAATTTTTCAGGAAAAATTATAATGAAATAAACTTTAGTGCAAAAACACACAGTATAATACCCATTTTTTGTGGAAAATTCATGGCAGTACCTCACACGTGTGTGGCAATTGCAGTTTACATACATGTGTGCACCCTAGGCATGCATTTGTAGGTGTTTGTGGGGCAACAGGAGTTACAGTTCATTTTATTTTTTTATAATTTTATTATAATTTTAACTTATTATATTTGATTTATGTATTTATTCTTACTTTTTTGCTGTCACAAAGGGTTAATGATCCCCTATGTGATAGCATTGGGTAGGTGACAGGTACTGTTTTTGGATACTTTAGGGCTCTAATAGACCCCAATATCTCCCCCTACCCTCCAATTCATGTAACCGAGTGCAGATTTGCTTGGTTACGTGTCCCCTGACTGTACCAGCAATGAAATGGTGAATTTGAAACCGGAAGTGACTAAATCATTGCTGCTTCCCATTTCTTTGTTTAGAGTGGAGATCAAGACGAGGGTGGTCAATGGTCTCTTTCCCCCCCCCCCCCCCCGCCAATTTTCCATCCTGAAGCGACTTGATGTGGTCCCAGGCTATCGGAAACAGAGAAAAAGCCCAGGAAACATGTGGGGGAGAGCCGGTGGGGAGAGTGGACACCGCACTGCCCGTTCTTTGAAAATGATCTGCGGCTATACAGCCACCACCTCACTTTCACTTTCAAGCTGGGAGCTGGTGGAACAAAAGGGGCTCAGGGGGCATAGGTTGATGTCTACTACTGCAGCCATCATTTTGTGATTAACTCTTCATTCTATGGAAATATGAAGTACATCAAAGAGCTCAAGTGGTTAAAGTGTACTTTGACTTTTGCAGTCATCCTGGGATAACACCCACTTTATACTTTTTACATGCTTCCATTTACATCGCAAACTTTAATTTTTATTTTTTTTTTTAATTGCTGCTTACATTTTTACTTACTTTTTATTGGATGAAAAATATTACTTATCTCTACCCTTCTGTGTAATACTATGAAAGGGGTTGGGAAGTTATGCTTACAATCATTAACCCTGTCTGCACTGTTCTGGCAGATCTCATTGTCAGTTGTAAATGTCCACTCTGTCTGCCCCAACAAAAAAGATAAAGATCTCAAAGCTTGGACAGTACAGTGGATGGTAGTGCACTTAATAAAAGGCCTTAAATCTGTCCCCCAATTGCACATTAGAAGCTATTGTGAACACTAAAAGCTGACTAGGGCGTTCTGAGTATAAATCTGATTTAAAGAAACAGCTAGAAAGGTAAGAAACCTAAAAAATATATATTTTATTTTGCGTGGATAGGAGCACTTTTAGGCCCCACGCACACTGGGTATTAAGCATGGGGCCAGGGGCGGACTAACAACTCATAGGGCCCCCGAGCAATAGGGGATCATGGGGCCTCTGTGTCCTTGCCCAAACTCAAAAAAGCCTATGAAAAAGGTACCAGGGGCATCTCATGGGGCCCCCTACTGATCCCGGGCTCTTGGGCAGTGCCGGAGTTTCCAAATGGTCAGTCCGCCCCTGCATGGGGCTCCAGCATTTAGGTGTTGGCACACAGCACAGGTGGACAATCTGACCCTGCAGCCGGCAGCAAGTAACAATCTAGGAGAGGATGACAACTGCTGTGTCCGGAAGGGATTGGACTGTGCATTGAGTGGTACTAATGTTCAGGGCCATATGCACCCAGGGACGATGCCCAGAACACAGACCTGGGTATTCCTCCTAGGACACATACTGCCCTAAACCTTAGTAGTGCTTGGGTTGGCCAGTGCACCTAAACACCAGAGCCTAATGTACCCGGGCTAAATGCCCCCTAGGATCCACATTACCATACTAACCTAATCAGTCTAAGAGAAAAAAAAAATAATCTTTACTCTAAATATTATTTGCTATTTGGAGCAAACACTGATTCAATGAGCCTGTTAAAAATATTTTTTTTTATTAAAACACCTTTTGATGGTGGTAGAAAATGGTGGTAGCATCCCTGAAAAATGGACATATTACCTATTAGCCAGTCAGTGAATGTAAAAGTCATACAGTTCGGGTCAGGTGTCACTACTGTTTGCATGTCCTGTTTTGTAACATATAAGTATGAATCATATATGTGCCCTGACACCATTACAGCGATGTCAAAGCTTAAGTGCAGCAATTTTACACTGGGTTTATGCAGGGTCACACGGGGAGTGTTGCTTAGCAACCTAGTAACATACTGTTTGTCGCTAAGCTATTGCATATGATTATTCATTAAAGCTAATATTGGCTTTTGTAATAAAATATAAATACTGTCAAGTCATGGTTGCCTTTTTAATATTACTGTGTGTGTAAATATATAAATATATATATATGCGTGTGTGCAAATATAACAATAATACATTATATATATATATAGTAATAATATGTAAATAAGCTGTATATATAATACATTGTGGTTTTATATCATTCTACAGGTTTAAACATTATTTTGATATAATTAAAAAAAAAGTTATTATAACATTTAAAGGGTTCTATAAATGCATTTACTAAAACAGATGAATAATTCGGTTTGTTTGCAGACTGGTTGGTAAGTTGAGCTGGGAATTTTTCTTTTTTGTTGATTGACATGCATCACCCTTCCATGTGCTCCTTGCTGTGAAGGCCAGTTATAGACTGGGGCCGTGGCCATTTTTTGTACTGTTGAATTGTTGGTCGAAAGGGCACACTGGACACCTTGGCTGCTATTGTGCTACATGCTGGGTGTCCTGTGCGCTACTGTACCTTTAAGGAGGGGTGGGCTCCCTCATGTCCACCTGCCCTTGGTCTATTCATTAAATACATGTGCCTCTACTATGGGGGCTCTCAAAATTGGAGAGTTAGGAACTACAGAATACTGGGGTGCCATGACGAGGCTCTGTAGCTTACACATGTATTTGCAAATGTGTGCTAACTAATCCCCTGTTTTTAACACATACTGTTAGACGGGTTAATTCGGTTTGTTTGCAGGCTGGCTGTTGATTGACATGCATCGCCCGTCGATTGACATGCATCGCCCGTCCATGTGCTCCTTGCTGTGAAGGCCAGTTATAGACTGGGGCAGTGGCCATTTTTTGTACAGATTAATAATTTAGGCTTTATGTTAACAGGAATCATTAAAACTGAACGGAAGGCAAACAACTGAATGTACCAAATAATATACATGCAGTGGGGCAAAAAAGTATTTAGTCAGCCACCATTTGTGCAAGTTCTCCCACTTAAAAAGATGAGAGAGGCCTGTAATTGGCATCATAGGTAGACCTCAACTATGAGAGACAAAATGAGAAAAAAAATCCAGAGAATCACATTGGCTGATTTGGAAAGAATTTATTTGTAAATTATGGTGGAAAATAAGTATTTGGTCACCTACAAACAAGCAAGATTTCTGGCTCTCACAGACGTGTACCTTCTTCTTTAAGAGGCTCCTCTGTCCTGCACTCATTACCTGTATCAATGGCACCTGTTTGAACTTGTTATCAGTATAAAAGACACCTGTCCACAACCTCAAACAGCCACACTCCAAACTCCACTATGGTGAAGACCAAAGAGCTGTCGAAGGACACCAGAAACAAAATTGTAGGCCTGCACCAGGCTGGGAAGACTGAATCTGCAATAGGCAAGCAGCTTGGTGTGAACAAATCAACTGTGGGAGCAATAATAAAAAAATGGAAGACATACAAGACCACTGATAATCTCCCTCGATCTGGGGCTCCACGCAAGATCTCACCCCGTGGGGTCAAAATGATCACAAGAACGGTGAGCAAAAATCCCAGAACCACACGGGGGGACCTAGTGAATGACCTGCAGAGAGCTGGGACCAACGTAACAAAGGCTACCATCAGTAACACACTACGCCGCCAGGGACTCAGATCCTGCAGTGCCAGACGTGTCCCCCTGCTTAAGCCAGTACATGTCTGGGCCCGTCTGAAGTCTGTTAGAGAGCATTTGGATGATCCAGAAGAGGATTGGGAGAATGTCATATGGTCAGATGAAACCAAAATAGAACTGTTTGGTAGAAACACAACTCGTTGTGTTTGGAGGAGAGAGAATGCTGAGTTGCATCCAAAGAACACCATACCTACTGTGAAGCATGGGGGTGGCAACATCATGCTTTGGGGCTGTTTCTCCACAAAGGGACCAGGACGACTGATCCATGTACAGGACAGAATGAATGGGGCCATGTATCGTGAGATTTTTAGTGCAAACCTACTTCCATCAGCAAGGACATTGGAGATGAAACATGGCTGGGTCTTCCAACATGACAATGATCCCAAACATACCGCCCAGGCAACGAAGGAGTGGCTTCATAAGAAGCATTTCAAGGTCTTGGAGTGGCCTAGCCAGTCTCCAGATCTCAACCCCATAGAAAACCTTTGGAGGGAGTTGAAAGTCCGTGTTGCCCAGCGACAGCCCCAAAACATCACTGCTCTAGAGGAGATCTGCATGGAGGAATGGGCCAACATACCAGCAACAGTGTGTGCCAACCTTGTGAAGACTTACAGGAAACGTTTGACTTCTGTCATTGCCAACAAAGGATATATAACGAAGAATTGAGATGAACTTTTGATATTGACCAAATACTTATTTTCCACCATAATTTGCAAATAAATTCTTTCCAATTCAGCCAATGTGATTGTCTGGATTTTTTTTTCTCATTTTGTCTCTCATAGTTGAGGTCTACCTATGATGCCAATTACAGCCCTCTCTCATCTTTTTAAGTGGGAGAACTTGCACAATTGGTGGCTAACTAAATACTTTTTTGCCCCACTGTATATGGGAGCTATTTGGCCTGTTAAAATGATTTGGATTTGGATTTTTATCCATCCAGTTCCGAGATTTACATAGCTAGTACATCCGTGCCTGGCAGGGGAGAGGACCTGTTCTTTCTCTGCTGCATTTCCACTTTCACTTACAGGTCTCCTTCCCACCTCCACCTTGTGCCTGGGAAGTGAAAGGAAAAGCAGCACACTAAGGAATAATTAAAACAACGCAGCACCATTTTTAAAATTCTATGTAATTTATTTGAATTTTAGTTATTTGTATATCAAACATTTTATGTTAGCAGCCATACTTTTTCCCTGTCACTCTGCTCTCTTCTCCTCTCAGCATGCTTCTTGCACTATAATGTACCTGATTGGTTCCTGTTGCTGCTTACCCTTCCACTCTGAGCTTTGCTGTACAGGGAATGCAAGAGGCTGATACCAAATCAAATTCAGGTATTCACACTGGTTGTAGTTAAAATTTGAGCTTTTTTTTCAGCGGGAACGCAGTTCCAGTACCTCCAGCACAGAAGGTGTGTTTGGGTGTGCTGGAGTATATATTGTTGCTGGCTGCTTGGGGATCTATTGTCACTGAAGGGGATTTTTTTTTGTGTGCTGATCTATTGTTGCTGGTGGGGGATATACTGTTGGTGGGGGTCAATTGTTGCTGGAAGGGATGTACTGTTGAGGGAGGGGTCTATTGTCTTGTCTATTATTACTGGCTAATGGAGAGTCTATTGATGCTGGCTGTTGGGGGATCTGTAGCTGCTGGGAGTCTATTGTTGCTGGGGTGGTATTTTTCTTTGGGGGTCCATTGTTGCTGGATGAATCTGTTGTTGCTGGGGAAGGTGGGTGGTCTATTGTTGCTGGCTGCAAGGGATCTATTTTTCTGCTTTTCTATTATTATTAACAAATTCCATTAAAATTATTTAGCTCTAAAAGGAGAAGTACTGGGAGGTGGGTAGGTGGTGGAACCAAGTGACGGTGCTCGGAGGTGGGTAGAGGGTGGAACCAAGTGACGGTGCTCGGAGGTGCGTAGGGGGTGGAACCAAGCGACGGTGCTCGGAGGTGGGTAGGGGGTGGAACCAAGTGACGGTGCTCGGAGGTGGGTAGGGGGCGGAGGCAAGAAGTGACTCATAGGAGGGGAGTTCCTGCACCTATTTTTTGAGAAAAAAAAGTCTTGGTTGAAATAATACATTTAAAGTGGAACTAAAGTGTGAATACTCACGTTGTCCATTGGTCCCTTGCTGGAAACATCATGTTCTTCTGAGTGCCGGTCCTAAATCATTTGTGGGTGCTGCTGCTGTTTGCATGTTAACACTCATCTGAGCGAATAGAGCACCTCGCTGACCCTGGACACAGTTTATTGACCAGTTTGTATGCGGCCATAGCACAGAGTGTTATTGCGTTCAGAGGCAACATTTAGCTAACACTGAACGCAGCAAACTATCCACATCTATACCGTATGAATGTAGACTAAAGCTGGGAACACACAGATCAAAATTTGCTGGTTCAGCAGGGGCCAGCCAACTGTCCTACTGTGTGTAGCCCTCCATGTTCAACAGAAGCTGATCATTAGATTGGTTTCTGTCGAACAGGCCTGATGAAAAATTTTATTACGATCTTTAACGACAGTTGTTCTGGTTTCTAGAATCCATTCCAGGTTCTAGTGTATCAGAAATGCTTCAGTTTGGCCATCTTCCAAGCCATGAACAGAGTTGCTTCAGCTTCCATTACACACTCACCAGCATCTATAAGGTCCACCTTTTAAATTGCCTGATAGCATAAATTTCTAACCAGCCAATCTAATGGCGGCAACTCAATGCATTTAGG